AATATTAATAATAAAAGACAGCAGATCAATGAAGCTGTGCTACAGCGAACTTCTGAGCCAGCAAATTTCTGAGCATTAAAACAAAACAAAATATGACCCCTGCTTCATTTCTCCCTTCCAAATCCCACACAAATTTCTCCTGTGGTTAACCTTCACCTGGGACCATAAAAAGCAAGGGATTCTGGGAGAACTAGCTGCAGCTTAGCCCAGTGGACACAGTACACTTGACAAGGGCTGTCTCCCACCTGGGGATGCCTCACTGCTTCCTCCGCTCCTCCCAACTGCCCCTTTATGTGCGCCTGGAATCATGCTCCCCATGCTTCAGAGGTGCAGATGTGCCCTTGGGTCCCTGAGCCTTCCCCACACCCACCCCAGCCCTGAAGGTACCCGTCTCCATTGGGCACTGGAGGGCAGGGCTGGGTGAGAGGATTACTAGGGGAAACCACTGGGGCCCAGCCGCTTGGATAGCACAGCAGGGAGGCACCACCCCTGCAGCAGTGCTGAAGCCAGCTTGAGCACAAGATCCTGATGCAGTCCCCCTGGCAAGGCTCCCAAGTCCCCCAGGATCTTGGAATGCACCAGATGGAAAGACTCGCAACTTACACAATGATGATAGAAGCTGCCTCTCCAGCTCCAAACCTTCAGAAAGACTGGAATTTGGGGCCTGCAAGATAGCTATGAGAGCACAGGCTCACCAAACTCCCTCCAGGCGGCCCCCAGAGCCCAGATCCCTGTTCACCCAGAAGTCACTGGCTCCCTGGGGATCTGGCTACTAGCAGAGTCCCTGGAGCCCTGATTGTCCCCCAAATCCCAGCCTGGCCACTGAAATGTGTCCACAGAGCAAGGCTGAGGCTCCCAAGCAAGCCCCTGTGGGTAAGCGGCTCAAGGCGACTTCCCCAGTGCCCCCCAACCACCGCTGCCGGCAGCCACTCCACAGGGTGGTCTCAGTGGCCATTTCCTGAATAGTCTGCCTCTGTGCAGACAGAGATTGGGCTGGGACCAAGACGGGCACTGACAGAGATGGGGCCCCAGCAGTACCTGCCCGAGGGCCATCCATTCAGCGAGCTGCCACCCCTTGGCCCACATGAGCCCCGCCCACTGGATCTGGCCCCACCCACTGTAAAGGGCTGGGGAGTGGAGGGCAGGGCTCTGTAGTCTACAGGACTCTGCTCAGTGCCCCAGACGACACGAAGGGCCAGGACAGGGCTAGGCCAATGTGGCCTGGGACTGTGGGCCAGACGGAGGGCACAGGAGGGAGACTAAAAAGGAAATGTGAAAGGCACTGTCAAGGCCTGTGGAAAAATCTCTGGCCACCACATCTGGGACACAAATAAAGTACCAGAAGCTTTGGGGAATAAAGACAGAGCAGGACACTGGGGACAGCCAGTCTGCATGGCCCCCTCAGTTGGCTGGAGTCAGCTGATGTGTTCTTCTAATTCATAGAGAAGAGGGAAGCCCTCTTCTAATTCATAGAAAAGAGGGAAGCCCCTGGAAGTATCAGGCCCCCGTCCGAGAAGGCGATGTGGGCTGGGACAAGCCACTCTGCACCCTATACTCACTTTCACATTCACAGATACCACACACACCTACATACACGCCACACGTGTACACACCACACACACACACACACACACAC